TAGATTTTAAAAGGGTATGGTTTATATGATTATATTCTGTATAATTGGGTATTATAACTCTGTGTGGTTTTATAAGTGATCTAAAGGGTATAGTATACATAAGTAATTTTTTATTTTTACTATAAGAAATGTGATCACCATTAGTCTCAACAAAAGCTTCTGCAAGTGGGGGAGAATTTTTAAGTTTCCAATATCGATTTGTTAGGTCTTCTTTTGCAATATAACTTAATTTGTTGATCATGTTTGACTCAAGGGATTTTAGTTTTAAGAGATATTTTTGTGATAACATTTGCCTACGCAAGTCCAAAGGTAACTCATTACACTCTGCCAGTATTGCTTTCACCGGTGATGATACCATCCCACCGATGCAAGTTCTAAGACATTTATATTGAACTCTGTTTATTTTGTTTAGATTGGTATTACAAGAGGATCCGTATAAACAACATCCATAGTCAATGATAGAACGCACGTAGGCTCTATAAAACAATAAAGCTATACCAGGAGCTGCACCCCAACTTCGATTTGTTACACACCTAAGTAAATTGTAGCCTTTTTCACATTTGTTTATTAAGTGATTTATGTGGCTCGACCATAGTAATTTGGTGTCAACAATAATACCTAAATACTTATACTCTTTAACTACCGACAGGGTACGTCCACACAGAGTCAATTCCTCTGGAGCACGTAGTCTATGCCTGGTAAAAAACATGATGGAGCATTTGTCTGTTGAAAGAGTCATGCCTGTTTCTTCTGTCCATATACTTACCTTATGCATAATATTCTCGAGAGCCTCCGTGCATGCTTCATAACTGTTTTGGATGGTGTATATACAGATGTCATCTGCATATTGTATGCAATTTACGGAGTTATGAAATAATGAATGAATATTGGCAGAATATATATTAAATAGTATAGGGCTAAGTACTGATCCCTGTGGCAAGCCATGATAAACAATCCTTGGACCATGTAAAACATTTCTATGATCTCTAATATAGACATGTCTAGAAAAATATAGATGCAATATATTTAGAGCAGTCGTTTCACTAAGACCAATCCTAATCATTTTTTGTTTAAGTATATTAATATTTACAGAGTCGTAAGCCCCTTTTATATCTAGGAATAAACAAGCTAAATATTTGTTACCAGAAAAAGTAATTTGGATGTCATTTACTAAATGAGTTACTGCATCCAAAGTACCATATCCCCTTCTAAAACCGTATTGAGTATTAGGCAAGATATTGTTATACTCTATGTACCACTCCAGTCTTGTTTTTATCATTCTTTCAAATGTTTTAGTTATACATGACATTAAAGATATAGGGCGATAAGAAGAGGGTATATTTTTATCTTTAGTTGGTTTTAAAATTAAACAAATGGTAATTTGTTTAAGTTGTTCAACATAGTTTGCATTTACCCACCAATCATTGTATATATTTATTATAAATTCTTTAGCAACTTGGGGAAGATTTTTAATAATGTCATATGTAACAAAATCATTACCTGGAGCAGTACATCTAGAGGTCTTAATTGCAGCTTCAAATTCAGTTCTATCAAAAGGTGCATCCATATAGTGGCTGCCAATGTTCTCTTTCGGTCTTTCAAGCATATTTGGCACAAAACTAGGTGCTACAATATCAAAAACTTGGTTTATTAGTTCTTCAGATATAGTATGTTTTTTAAAAGTTGAGTTTTTGTTAGATATTTTTTTTATAAAACTCCAAATTTTTGATATTGGCGTATTTTTATTTAATTTATTAATAAAATTTTTCCAGCATAATTGTTGTTTTTGTTTAAAAAGTATTTTAGCTTTGGCCTGAATATGCTTAAATTTGAGATAATTTTCATAATTCGTGTTATTTTTATAATCCAGATATGCATCTTTCCTATTATTAACAATTAAGGTGCATTCATTATCCCACCAAATAGGATTTGGAGGTTTTTTACTTTTACCTGAACGAGATTTCATTGACTTAGAAGCTGCATCATTTATTACTTTCATTAAAAATTCAAAGGAATTATTATCACTGTTATTATTATAAATTTGTGTTTCAATTAGGTTTTGAAAAAGCGTCCAGTCAGCTGTAGATTCAATCCATTTTCTAGAAGGTGTTTTGTTAGTGGGGATATATTCCCGAGATATATTAATATGGATAGGGAGATGGTCGGAACCAAGTGTATCATTTAGAGGATTCCACTCTGAGTAACTTAAAAGACTAGGTGAGATAAAAGTAAGATCTATGGCAGAAGGTCGTTCGTTGGGTCTGACTATCTTAGTAGGTCGACCGTCGTTTAAAATAATCAGGTTAGTTTCGTCAATAGCCTCTACAAGTCGATTTCCTTGTGAGTTATCTATTGTAGAACCCCAAAGGCTGTGATGACAGTTAAAGTCACCGCATATAATGACATCACCCTGTAATTGTGAAAAAAGATTACTCCAATCAGTCTTAGTTGCTTTTATTTTGGGAGATTTATAAATGGAAGCTAACGATATCTTAAATTCATCGATATATGCTGTGCATACTTCAATTTTGGAATTAAAGTTTTTACGGATTGAGATTTCATGATAGGTTAGGGTGTCTTTGATAAGTATAGCAGTGCCTCCAAATCCATCAGTTCTGTCTACATGTAGTATATTGTAAGTTGGTAAATGAAATATTTTCTTTTTAGATAACCAAGTTTCATTAAGTATAATTAAATCAAATTTAATAGAGTAATGGTTAAGAAAATTAACAAGATTAGCTTTATTTTTAGTAATGGAATTACAATTCCATTGCAATATATTTATCATCTACTTAATAATAATTTTCATCACTATCACTATCACTATATTGTATTGTACCTAATATTTTTTTGAGTTCTGTTTGTGTTTCCTGAATAACTAGTGGATCTGGGTTTACTAAATTAAATTTTTTAAACATATTTTCAAAAATACAAGGAAGTTTCTGCAGTATCTGTAATTCTAATTTTTCTTTGTATGACTGGAAGGCTTCCCTGTGTGGATTAGGAATAACAGGATCTGAAAACGCTATTTTTAAGTTTAAATGAAGGAGGTTTATTGACTGACAGTGGCGAACTTACTTTGCGCTTTTTCGGTTGTTGGAAATGAGGACGTGGTACCCAATTTTTATTACTCGTGGAAGGGGAAATATTCGTATCAATATTACCGTTCAGCTCAGGGAAATTATTTAGGTTATTTAAAACATCGAAATTATTATTTGTTACTATTTTAGCATAAGACGGATTTCTTACAATACCTTCAGCTTCCTTAAATGATACATTTTTTTCAGACATGATTTTTTTAATTTTGAATTGTTCCTGGTATTTCGGGCAATTTTTTGATACAGACTGATGGTCATGAGTTTCACAGTATATGCAATAGGCATTAGCAGTGCAATTGATATCGTCATTTTCATCGTGGTTTTCGCCACATTTTTTACATTTAGTCACAGTGCTTTTGCAGTATTTTGCTGTATGACCATATCGAAGGCACTTATAACACTGTACGACAGGATATATGTATGGCTCAACAGCAAATCTTACCAAATCAATTTTAACAAATTTTGGCAAATTATTTCCTAAAAATGTTAACACTATCATCTGTCTTGGGACAAACTGTGTCTCATTATCGGAATCAATAATCCTACGTTTCATTCTTTTTACTTCTACAACTTTTTGCTCACTTTCAATATTCTCCAAAATATACTTTTCAGCCAAAAAAGTGTCAACCTCTCTAATAATTGCTTTTTTATGGTTAAAAAAATATAGGTATATAAGCGATCAAATTATTATCTTTTATTAATTTATGTTCTATAATAGCATTTGCAATATTATAAGTCTTAAAAATAATTTTTACCTTATTTCTTCCAATCAATTTTATATCAATAACATCTTTATTAAAAGTAGAATGTTTAAATAGATAATGACCAACTTTAACCGCTGATAATCGACAATTTTTATCGACTGGTTCTACAACAATATAGTACGGTCCAGTGTCAGTCGAAGCATATTTGTTGTCTAAATTATATATCTTATTATCAATTTCCATTTCGTTTTGCCTACCGTTTCCATCTGGTGGGTCTTTTCCAGACGGGGGAGCACCCCCGTCGGAAGAGTTATTCATTATAAAATTATAAACTTGTACTTACCTTATCTATGAGTTTATGAAATAACAAACCAAAACAAACCTGCCTAAATTCGAGCAAAATGTAATTAAGCGCGCTTCACGAGCCAACCTTCTAGTTCGGAAGAAACACCAATACTGACTTGTAATGAGGATTACAATGGAACAAATGAATTAATTTTAAAACATCGCGACGTTATATTTTAATTTACATTGGTTAATTGCAAATCAGAGAACTCAGTGGGCACAGCATATCTAGTCGAACAAATGAATTAGATACGGCACATCTCAAGGTTATCTTGAAGTTTACACTGGTTAATTGCAAATCAAGAAATCTACTTATTGCATTGAAATTCCTATACTCTGAAAAAAATTATTTCCATACTTGTACAACAACCAATTTCTATTTTTTTATATTGGCGCCCAACGGAAGGCCTCTTTTCAGTTTAAGACAGTATTTTCTTTAGTTCATTATTTTCTCTTTCGTTAGTTCAAAAGGTTCTGACATAAAGGGTAATATTTTTAAAGGTATACTTGTATTTCTGTAGTGACATCCATTAATATTTAAAATCCTTACTTATTTTAATATTTTGTGTACAGTTAACATGTCAGATTTAATCGAGAAATTATAAATAATTTACATATATTGTTATTAACATTTTCAGATATATTAGCCAATAGTGGTGTGAGGTTAGGTTCAATTAATTTTACAATAAGTGTTTATTTACTTTTAAATCATGATTTGAACGTGTATTGATTAATTAAGTGATTTATTATGAATAAATTATGGTTTAGTCTCATCTTCGAAATGTATTTGTTAAAAATACCACGAAAAATAGTTTGAGAATCAAAAAAATCTTGTATATTATCAATATTTTAGTGATACAGTTCACAACATCGGAAAAGAAATCGTTAAACGTTATTATATCGAAGAAATTAAAAGCAATAAGATCTTTTACACCGATTCTAATGGCAGGCAATTAATGAAAAGACTAAGAAACAATCATACCTTCCACGATGATAATGTAGAAGCTGCTTCGTCAAATTATTATCCAGTTACCTCAAAGATTACTATAGAAGACATCAAAAGTGATCTAAAGCTCTCCATATTGACTGACAGATCACAAGGAGGGACCAGTTTAAAAGATGGGGAAGTTGAATTAATGGTTCATATATTTTTACTTTTTTCTTTTCTATTTTCAACAAATTGTTTACTTGGTTTATGTTATCATAATGTTGAAATCATAAGCTTTCTTCTTATATAACTGGTTGTCTTGTTTAACCCTCCGGAAGTCGCGGCTTATCTGAGAGATACATTGAAAAAATTGTTATAAATATTTTAAAAGAAGTGCATCGTATCATTCTAGGGCACTGTCTAGCTTCACATTTATATCTTAGGAGTGGGGAAACACATAACGTCGCGTCGGCTTTCAGGTAATTTCTAGTAGGGATGGCGGTTTTTGACTAAAACACCGGTTTTCGGTTATACCGTTTTTTTTTGCTTACGGTTTAACCTGGCGGTTATAACCGGCCAAAAAACCGGTTTTTCCAAAAACCGGTTTTCGGTTTTTTTAATGCAATATGTTAAAAAGTTATATTTACAATACACTTTAGTGTGCGATACTTCATTCACCTCGATATCAATATGATCAAAATTAGTATTATCGAAAGAACATCACTATCAATATAAATAAAACACAATTTTTAATAAAACCATTTTATTATATTAATTATTATATTTATTTATTATTTTATTATTATTATATATTTATTGATTTATCTTTAAATATAATATAGCGTAAGATTAAAGTATAAGTAGAATGAAGTAATATTTAAGATTATGTTGGCCAATTTTTCATGAAGCCTATTGAGAAAAACTCGTTCATATATATGTTGGTCGATTAAGCAGCTTCTCTCATCAGACACAATATCATTCAATGATGACACCAGTCTCTCTGATGCTACCGATCTTCCGACCAACGACATGTATTTTTTAGCTATAAAAGCCAAGCCTGGCATACAGGTTCTGTACTGCACAAGAATGAAAACGGAACATTTAATCTCGGCAGCAAAGGCTGCTGCAGATATAGAGTCAGTTCACATGAAAAAGAACTTTGAATCCGTGTGTCCTGAGAACTTGAACTGGAACCACTGTTCACCAGCTCCAGATCGTTTGAAGAACAAAGAGGGTTTGATTTTAAACTCACTTTGGCTTCTTTATTCTAGAAGGAGCAGAAAGAAGAAAGTTTTCAAAGAAAAAGAACTTTGAACCCGTGTGTCCTGAGAACTTGAACTGGAACCACTGTTCACCAACTCCAGATCGTGTGAAGAACAAAGAGGGTTTGATTTTAAACTCACTTTGGCTTCTTTATTCTAGAAGGAACAGAAAGGAGAAAGTTTTCCGATTTCGGTAAGGTACGTCCTTACTTCCGAGCCTAAATTGGATGTGACTGTCGGATTCAGATATAGTTTTTTGAACCTAGGGTCAGTGATTGTAGCATGGCAAAGCAGGGGGTTTCATAAACGCTTAGTGCCCCTTTCTTGAAGGTTATTTATAAGCTTTTGGCATAACTTTTGGGCTGTATTAAGATTTCTCTTGAGGTTTTTTAAAGAACTTTCGATAATAAACACAAGGGGGGTAACAAGACTAGTAATGTACTGGAAACACGAGATCTCCTTTGTGGCCTCATCGAAAGGTGATAAAATTTGTTACATTTTCAGTGATTAGTTTTATATCTGAACCAGAACTCATACTTGGTGCTTTTTTAATCGAGGGATCTGCCAGTATTGCAGCTATATATGGGGACATTAGTGTGAATCTTTTAAGCATATGGTAGACAGAATTTCATCTGGTTGGTACGGATTGTACCAAAAGCTTCACTTCACCCTCTGACTTGCCCTCCCGTTCATGCTCCATCCGTATCCTTTCCATGAAGAGATTGCTGTGCCTAGCGAAAGTGACTATGGCTTTTATTTCGTTTATTACATTTTTTAATGCTACATTGTTTATATCTTCTTAGCAATCTGTGACAACTAAATTTAATATGTGTAAAATGAAGCAGAGCTCACACTCGCCTCAGAAGCAGATGAAGATGCTTCCTGATCGCCTCTATGCAGAAAAGTTATGATGTCCCTCAGTTCTTTATCCCAAGCAAAAAAAATCCCCTATTAATTCCTTTACTTAAATTTTTCTATGAAATGAGCTTACCTTTGGCTTATTTTCCAGATATTTTGGATGTTTATTTTTTAGCTGCTGCCTCAAATTCGCCGGGTCTCCTCCTGGTTTTAATATTTTCAAACAAATAGAGCACTGCGCCTAATGTTACTACGCTTGGAAAACAAATTCCACACAAACGATTTCGACATGGTAAAAATGAAAAATTCGAAACTTGAAGATGAAAAGAAAACGGCGTTGTTACTAGATTTATTTAGGCACTCCTAATGTATAACTAGTTTTCAATGTCGTCATGGGAATTACTTGATTACTTGGATCGAAATTACATTTGATTTGTGTGAATCCCAAAGATTTGTGAATTTCAGTAGTCAGATGTAGAGAACAGTAAACCAAAACCAAAATTATTATAATACTGCTCAACAGAGAGCGCTGAAATAATTCAGGTTCTATTGTCATTGAATATATTATGAGAGTAGAATATAATATGCAATTATTGTATTTAATTAAATGATGCAAATTTAATTTGCCCTTTAAACATATAATCCTCTAAAAAATTTCCCAGACTCTTCAAATAAGATTTAAAAATAATAAATATTAAGATAAATATTTTACTTGAAAATAAATTGGATAATGCAATTCATCTTATATTTTTATTACCATCAAAAAAAATTTATCATGTATAACTTTTAACACGTTTGTATATTTGTTTAATAGGTATATTAACTCATTTAATACTTCCTGTATTGTTTTGAAAACGTAGCGAATTCCTTGGAGATTCGTATTCGTATTCGGTAATTCAATATTCATAGTCAGAATATTAGTTTTGGTAATCAGAAAAAGCCATTCACCAACTTTCAATGTCAAGAGTCAAGTGTGAAAAATATGTAATGTACCATGTACCAGATGACTTTTTATGTAAATATTATGATTAGAAATACCTTTTCAACGAAATATTATAACAAAACTTAATTGTTTCTGGCTGATATGAGTTTGCACTTTCAGTTTTGTAGATATAAAATAAAATAAAATTTGAATTATGGTTTTGTTTGGAATAATTACTTGAGAATAATAATTACGATTGGAATCCAAAATAATACCTAAATACTAAAATATAACCTAAATAATACTAATAAAACTAAAAAACCTAATAACCGGTTTTTACTTTAAAAATAAAAACCGGTTATAACCGGGACAAAAAAACAACTGGTAAAACCGGTTATTGCGAAGTAAAAAAACCGGTTTTCGCTTAAAACCGGTAGGTTTTTCCCATCCCTAATTTCTAGTGGTTGAGAAGTGAACGGTTGTCGTAACCGAACAACAGTTATATCTGACAGATACCGCGACCTCGCAGATTGAGCTTATAATTTTCGTGTTCATTTCGTTGTGTGATCTATATTATATTCAGAATGTCGAAAAAGGTATATAAGCTGGATGATCTAAAGGATGTTGAAGAGTTTCAGAGTATGTTTTCCGATTCTGACGACGGAAATGAATTTAAAGACGAAAGTGGTGTGGACGAAATCGATTATGTTGAAGAGCGATCAGAAAACTCTGAGAGCGAACAAGACATTTCTAGTGAGGAGAGCAAAGAGATCGTATATGAAAACGGGGAGTATTTTTTCGGAAAAGACAAGGTACAAAGGGAGAGAAAACCAATTTACAGAAATAAACTTAGGCAACAGAAACAAAATATTCTGTTTCAATTGCCTGTAGTAAGGAATACTGCAAAAAATGCAAAAACTGAATATGAATGCTGCAGCTGTTTTGTGTCAGAAGAACTTTTAAATTTAATTTTACATTATACAAATAAAAATATAGACTTTAATTTCAAGTAGGTACATATTTCACAAAAAAGATGCTAAACAAATCGATAAAATCTAACTAAAATCATTTTTGGGCCTTTTGAATTTAGCCTGGCTTACACTGGAGTAATCGACTAAATTTGGAAGATTTATGGGCAACACATGGTAATGGAATTGAATTATTTAGACTTACAATCTATACTGGAATATCTATACTGGAAGATATTGGAATAATCTATACTGGAACCACATGGCAAAGGCGAGGATTGATCAAGACCAATATACGGATGCATTTGAAATCCGGAAAGGTTTCCGCCAAGGCTGCATACTCTCTCCGATGCTTTTTAATTTATATGTTGAAAATATATTTGCGGGAGCATTAGAAGACACGGAATTAGGCATTAAGGTAAACGGCATACCAATTAGCAACCTACGCTATGCGGACGACACAGTGATTATAACTGATAATTTGGAAGATCAGCAGTTATTACTTGATAGGGTGAATAGCATAGGTAAAAAATATGGCCTGAAAATCAACTTTTTGAAAACGAAATATATGGTCATTAGCATAAACCCTCCAGAAAACTCGATAATATGCATAGGTGACGATCGTATAAAACGCGTGAAAACTTTTAAATACCTTGGCGTCAAAATCAATGACAAATCTGATCCACAACACGAGATAAAAACCCGAATACAAATGGCAAGACAAGCTTTTGTGAAATTCAGACCGCTCCTATGTAATCAAAACCTGAATTTCGAAATACGCTACAGAATGGTCAAGTGCTACATATGGTCCATCTTGCTTTATGGCATCTAAACGTGGACTTTGAAAAAAATATCTATCAACAAACTTGAAGCATTTGAAATGTGGTCATTGGGAAGAATGATGCGCGTACCTTGGGTGGATAGAGTTGGAAACGATGACGTCCTTAAGAGAGCCGGCGTGGAAAGAGAACTCTTTGAATTAATTAAAAAACGCAAGATTGGTTACCTTGGGCACATATTGAGAGGAGCAAAATATGAAATACCACAGTTAATTCTATAAGGGAAGATCGAAGGTAGGAGAGAAGCCGGCCGCAAACAATTATCCTGGTTAAGGAATATTAAAGAATGGACAGGAATACACAATACAGGCGAGCTGTGTCACGCCGCCAAGAACAGAATTCTAGTAATGAGATAGTCGCCTACGCACTTTGGTGTATGGCATGTTAAGAAGAAGAAGACTTGTATGAGATTCGATGAAAAGACGACTCGATCAGATCGACTAAAGATTAATAAGTTGTCAGCTGTTAGACAAATCTTCTCACTATTTGTAGAACATTGCAAAAAGTGATAGTCTATGAGACAAAACGTAAATATACACGAGATGTTGGTAAGCTTTAGGGTTGATGCGGATTTAGGCAATATATCCCATCAAAACCTAACAAATATGGAATTAAAATTTTTTACACGGTTGATTTTAAGCTATTTTACACAGGCAATGTGGAAATTTATGCAGGACTGCAGCCTGAAGGTCCATTTCGTGTCAGCCATAAACCAGTAGATGTGGTCAAGAAATATCACTGCTGATAATTGGTTCACCGATCTAACTCTCGTCAGCGATTTGAAAAAGAACAAACTATCATGTCTGTAGATGACTACTTGATGAAAAGAACAGACTATCAGTGTAGGGACAGTCAGAAGAAACAAACGTCAACTACCACCTGAATTAGTGAGTTTGGCAAACAGACCAATATAACCTAACTTTATTGCTTTTAGTAAAGATTGTGCTCTTGTATTGCATGTGCCAAAGAAGGGAAAAAACTTAATTCTTGTATCTAGTATGCACTTCGATGACGTAGTAAATTCAGGTACGCATAAGCCAGAGATAATCAATTATGACAATCAGACGAAATCAGTGGTTGACACTGTAAACCAAATGCTTGGTTCGTATAATGTAGCCAGAAAGAGCAGAAGATGGCCTATGGTGATATTTTACGTCATCTTGAACGTTACTGGGATCAATGCACAGTCCGTTCACATGCTAAATCGGAATTCAAAAAATTCACAGACCATTGCAGCTTCAGAAACATAAGGAGGAAGGTTCAATCAATGAGGCTGAACCAGATTTTGCTAAAACGGGCAATAAAAGAAAAATGTGTTCTTCTTGCTATGCGACAAAGACGACGCTTTTATCCAAATACTATTGTAAATGTTGTACCACATTTTTTTGTCTTGAGAATGGCATTATTGTTTACAACAGTTGTTATAACCGTTCTACTAATCCTTCCGCTGATGAATCTGTTGTTTAGCTAAATCTAATTGGCTAAATCTGTTTGGGTTATTTTTGTCTTATATTAGTAATAATAATGATAGTTATTACATGTTTATATTTTGTTGTGTTCCTAGTACTGCATTTATTTTATTTTCTTTTGACAATAAATTAGTTCAAATCCGCTTATTTTTTTATAAGTTATGTTCAAAATAAACGTTTCTTCCGATCTCGATCAGTTTTCTTCTCAATCTTATTGTAACATTAAACTTGTGTATCTGTGTGTACACGAATGTATCTCTGAGATACACCGCGACCTATACAGTACACTTTATGAGCGCGACCTCCGAAGGGTTAAGTTGTAAACGTATATACTAATGAGAAAAATTGAGACAAATAGAGTAATTTAAAATCTTTCTGTTAAAATGTACGTAAAATATCTAATTTTAAGCTCCATCGAAGAACTTTAAAGGACGACTTTAAAGGTGTTGAAGAACCTCTGCAAGAAATGGAATTTGATAATTATATTGTCGTTAGAGGTTCGCATTACTTGACAATGGGTTCGTCAGGAGTTTCTAAATATGGTAAGTGTTTAATTCTAATTATAATATGACATTTATGAATAGACAGCGGAACAATGCATTAGTTTCACTAAAAATAAATACCTTGTCCTTAAATATCTGCCTTGTCAAATAATTATAAAAAAGGTAAGAAAACAAAAGAACTCCGCCTTGGGTAAGTGCTGGGTGGATTGAGTAGCTCAGTAAATGTTGGTGCCGGTCCTAAGCCTGGATAAAGGAGGAGGGTTGAGCGATGGGCTAGCAACTAATCCCTTGTCAAAAGAAATAAATGCTTAAAATTTCGACTAAAAGCCTCGGAATACAAACGACTAATGCAACGGAAAAGTAAAATGATATTGGCTATATGGAATGTACAAGGACTTAGAACCAAACAGAAGTATTTAAAGAATTAGTGGTAAGAAAAAAAGATGTATGTATTCTCACCGACACCAAGAAAAAGGGAAAAGGAAAAGAAGACATAAGAGAATATATACATATTGGCATGGGTAAAGATAACATAGCTAAGAGAGGAGTCTATATTGCCAACAACTGCTTATACTGTAGATGAAAAATAAGGGGCACAACATCGTAATTTTCGGAGTGTATACCCCAAATGAAGACGCAGATCCAGAAAGTAAAGTCGATTTCTACAACAAGATAAATGAAATATTCTCTGAATTTAAATAAAGCTGTGTATAAATTTTTATACTAGAAGGTGTAAATGGCAGAGGAGGTAGAGAAAAAAATAACAGAGTCGTAGGAAGATATAAGGAACAAATAACTAACGACAACGGAATGCATCTTAGAGATTTTTTCTCGATATTCGACTATGTAATCCAACGTCAAACTTCCCAGCTGAAAACAACTGACGTAAGGATATATCAGAATGTGGATCCGACCATCGGTTACTTATGGCCAACGTTATAGCATTTTCAATTTCATTGATTCTTTGAAGTGTATTGAAATCCCCTCGTATATACAATATATTGAAATCGCCTTATATATGTTTAAAAAATAGAACGAAGAATTTTTCCATGTTTGTTAGTTCGTATCTTTCAAGTTAAAATACGCAAAAGTGTTTTCAGTGATTGTATTTGCATTGCTGGATATTAAATAAACCATTTTAGAGTTGTTTAATATTTTAACTTTTTCGGCAAATTCTTTTAATGTTTTAACAGTGACACAACGTGACAGTTAACTATCGCAAAAACAATAACACTCAAGTATAGAATATAAAAATTGACAAGAAGTAACAAAAGAGTATAACCTAGAAAGCTTAAAAGAAGATTCAACGAAATTTCTTTACACATTACGACTGTCCACAAAATTACAAAATATGGATCGAGAAAATATATCAGCGGAAGAATTATACCGGTAACTTAAAAAATGCATTCATAAGGCTGCAAGTGAAGCTTTGGGGTATAAAGACAAACATGAAACAAAATATCAAGAATGGTGGTCGGAGAATATGCAAACGTTAGTAAACAAAAAGAAATGTCAACGAGAAAGGAGGAAGATTACAAGATATATACAAAATTAAATCGAGATGTAAAAAGAGAAGTAGTGAACAGTAAAAATGAGATGATCGAACATGTGCAGACTTGGATAGGTATCTGGAAAGGAAAAATATAACTTACAGTTAATCGATGTGAAACAGTGAAAACACCATTATGAGTTCTTACTGACATCGATCTCTTAGAATGTAAATTCCAAGAGATCAAAATGAAATAAATATCCGAACATACACAAATAATTGACATAACAACCGGAGAGTTAAGCGATGCCCTCAAAAAATCAAAAACGATAAAGCAGCAGGACCTAGAGAACACAATGAATTTCCTGCTGGAAGATCGTGCACTGAGCACTTATGGTATATTCGTTCTGGTGCAGGTAATTAGAAAACGGAAGGCAAGGAATCTATCGACCCACCAATTGTTTGTAGATTTAAAGAAGGCATACGATACGGTACCTTTATAAAAACTGTTTTACACATTGACGAAAGTAGGTTTCAGTAGAGAGTATGTGGATGCTATCGCAAATACATAAAAAAATACAGGAAGTGTCGTTAAAGAAGGAAACTTTATATCTAAATTTCATCATTTTTATGTTCTTTCTAATAGCAAAGGGACTTAAACAAGGATGTTGTCTATCTCCGACCTTATTTAAAATATATATTCAATCATCGCTAGAGCAGTGAAGGAAACAAGTATCTGGAATGGGAATAGACATAGGCGGTGGTAAATGTCTCACAACTTTATATTTCGCAGATGATCAGGTAGTCGTCGCATATGATGAGGAAGACATGGACTAAATGTTAAAAAAAAAAAGAGTACCAAAAATGGGGCCTCGATATGAATATGTTAAAGAGAGAGTATCTTAAAATAGGAGATGATGAAGAAGATCCAGCGTTAGAAATTCTTCTTCTTCCTTTGCCCTATCCGTTTCGGACGTTGGCTATTAACAAGGCTATTTTGACTTTGTTTACGGCACCTCTGAATAGTTCGGTCGATGTTAGTCCGAACTATTGTCGCAGGTTATGCATCCATGAGTGTCGTCTTCTTCCCGGTCCCCTCCTACTGTCGATTCTTCCTTGGACTATTAACTGTAGCAGCCAGTACTTAGTATGCCTCATGACATGTCCGAAGTATTCAAGCTTCCGTTTCTTTACGGTGAAGATTATTTCTTTGCTTTTGCCTATTCTCTGAATTACTTCCACGTTAGTGATGTGGTCTGTCCAGGATATCCGAAGAATACGGCGATATATCCACACCTCAAAGGATTCTAGTTTCTTTAGGATGGCTTCCGTTGTGCTCCATGCCTCTGCTCCATAGAACAAGACCGAGAAGACATAACACTTGACCAGTCTTAATTTTAGTTCCATTGAGATTCTGCTTATGAACCACTTTTTCATATTGTTGAACGCGTTTCGCGCTTTTTCAATTCGTGATCTTATTTCTGTTGACTGGTCCCATTTTGTGTTGACTGTGGTTCCAAGGTATGTGTATGTCTCCACTTGTTCTACTTTTCGGTTGTTTAATGTCAATTGCATCGGAGGTTGTTGTGTTTTGCTGATGAGCATGCATTTAGTTTTGGTTATATTGAGTTCTAAACCATATTCTTGACTTGCTGTGTGTATGCTTTGCATGAGTCTTAGAAGTTCGTTGCAGTCATTTGCGATAATAACTGTCGAAAGTTAGAAATTAGAAACACAAAAATATGCACTGAATATAAATATCTCGGATCTATAATATCTAAAGAAGGCACTACCAAAAGCGACATTCTAAACTCTCTACTATGGCCTAAAGATATAAAACAAGAAACGAACCTTGGTAGAGCCTATTATGACTTATGGGGCAGAAGTTTGACAGATCACGAAAAAAGATAGAAAAAGAATAGAAGTAGTAGAATGAAGATAGATAACCAAAGAAATTTTTAAATTACATACCACAACAAAGAAGAAGAAGGGGAAGGCTTTTCGTTGCCTGGGAAGAAAATGTACGGCACATAATGAGAGATAGAGCCATCAGAAAACAAAAGAGAAGACTTACCTACAATTAGTTTAGTTATAGCTGGACAACCAGAATTGATCTTTACAAAGGCCTGTTTATCTTTTGCTTATCTAAAAATTCTTGACCTTGAAACCCATCGCAATTAAAATCAACTGTGAGGAAGACTTCTCTATTATTTTATTAATTATTTAAAGTGGATGTGTGTAAACCATCATTTTAATAACATTTATTTATTATTTCAGAACGGATCCTGGCTCTTAACAAACTATCACAACCATGGGTGTTAACAGCTGATGCTACTTCTGAAGACTTATCCCTAGAAAAACTTCAAAGCAACATTAATTTCAAGGTAATATGAAATTTTCATATTGAATAACTATACAACCCTTCCTTTTAATCTTTTAATTTATTAAGTAGTAAAGATTGTTTAGCATTCCCTATTTTAGCTAGAACGATTTTATTTAGCGTATGGACTTTCACAGTACGATAAATATACAAATACAATTACAATAATATACACATATATATTATATATATTATCCAAACACTAAAAATAGTAAAAATAGAATGAATAAAATGAATGACACTAAATATTAATGTCCAATTTACATAGCCATTCAATTGCTTCTGGGGAACATTCCGCAAAGTCCTGGAGGTTTCCACGGTAGGCACGATTCAAGCAGTCTGAAACACAATTTCTTATGGTCTGTCTATATTCTCCGCAATCGCACTGTGGACTTTCTGCACGACCCCACCTGAACAGCGAATCAGCACATTTATGGTACGTATACGATTAAGCCTTGCCCAAATGGACCGGGGCAGATTTGATCCGATGAAACCCTGAGTTAGGGTAGATATCTTAATATAGTCCGATTTTACTGTTGGCATCCATCTTGTTGTCCATTGCCTATGTATATCATAGGAATTACCAATTTTTCGGGCAGATCGTATTGGAGGATTTCTAGATCTCAATCGTTGGTGCTCTTTTGAGATGTCTGGGATATCTTGATGTATTGGTAATTGTACGTTGGCTACAATTTTCTGGTACTCTCTCACTAATGCTGCTGTACGGCGTAGATCTGGTGGAGCAATATTGCTCAGAGTAGGCAGCCATCTCACTGGCGTTGATTTTATTGTTCTAGTGATTATTCTCATGGTTTGGTTAAGTTGGACATCGATTTTGCTTGTATGTGCACTATTTAGCCATACTGGTGCACAATATTCTGCCACTGAAAAAACCAAAGCTAGAGCAGAGGTCCGAAGAGTATCTGCAGAAGCACCCCAAGTTGTTCCAGCAAGTTTTGATATTAAGTTATTTCGTGTTCTTAGTTTACCGGCTGCGTTTGTAAGATGACTTTTGAAGGTGAGTGTTCTATCAAGTGTGACGTCTAGATATTTGGGGTTGTTGTTATGTTTGATAGCTGTGTCATTTAGAGTTACATTGAGAGTATCGCCCGCAAGTTGATTCGACAGGTGAAAGAGACAGGTTTCAGTTTTGCTTGCGTTAGGACGTAAGCGCCAGTTCTTAAAATAGTTACTTAGTGTAGATAAGTCCTCGTTTAGAGCTCGTTCTCCTGCTTCTTTACCATTATCTTGGAAGCCAATGACCAGGTCGTCAGCATAAGCAAATTTTCTCGATTTTGTTTCAGGTATATATGCTGTATAAACGTTAAATAATAAAGGAGCTAGCACTGAGCCTTAAGGTAAGCCGTTGTTAAGTTTTCTAACGTTACTCTGTGCATCATTCATATATACCTGAAACAGTCTGTTAGTCAGTAGATTGTTTATCAGCTGACAAGTTTTGAGGCAAGGTATGATTTTCATCAGCTTATAAGTAAGGCCCTCTCTCCACACCGTGTCATAGGCAGCCGTGAGATCTATAAATGTTATGGCAGATTTTTCGCATCTTTCAAAGCCAGCTTCAATAAATGTAGTTAAGGACAGCACTTGGTCACAGCAACTTCGTCCTCTTCTAAATCCAGCTTGTTCAATTGGTACAGCATCCTTAATGGTGTTACATATTCGGTTATATAAAAGTCGTTCTAGTAATTTATAACAGCAACTGAGTAAGGCAATAGGCCGGTAACTTTCAGGCAGCTTGTTGTCTCTGTCAGGCTTCTGGATTGCGATAATTTTTGTTCTTTTAAATTCTGGGGGTAGCACAGTTGTATTCACAATGTCGCTAAAGAATTTTTTGAGCCACTGTCGTGTTTTTGTACCAGTGTGGACTATAAACTCAGGATACATTCCATCGAAGCCTGCTGCTTTTCCTGTTTTAGTTTGGTTAAGCGCTTCGTTTATTTCATCCAATGAGAAGGCACGTGAGTATTCTGATGTTGCGGGAGTATTTGCTTTAAGTTGTTTAAGAGCTCTTTTTACGGTAGATGTATGAGTTTTCTCAGATGGAGCTCGGGAGTTCTCAATTATTTTATTGGCTATTTTATTTGGCTCAATTGTTGATCTGTTTAAGTGTTGCGCTCTGCTTGCTTCGCCCAGTTTTCGGATCAGTCCGCATGCTTTTCGACTGGAACGTGAGAAATCAATATGTTCTACGGTAGATTTCCATTTATTAAGTCTTGTTGAGTCCACTGACTTCAGTAAGTTGTCACCAATTTCGGGATCTTCTGATTTCAAAAATTCGTCATATAGTTTTTGGCTTTCTTCCGTCCAGCCTGGGATGTACTCCTTTCGGAAACCTCGGGGGATATGTTTTTTGGCGATAGAGATAATCATTCCTAAAAAACGGTGATAGTTGTTGGCCTTTGGGTCAATGAAGCGAATGCAGGTGTCCAGCTCTTTGGTGAATTCGGGCCAATTTCCTTTGTTAAAATTCCAACGGGGTCTCGGCGTGGATTCAACGATAGAAATTTGTATGCCTAGTTGGATTATGACAGGTCGATGTTGGCTGTGAGGGAAACTGGAAAGTATAGTTCGAGAGCTTGGAAGTGGTTGCATCTGTGAGTTAGTGGAAACCCAGCATAGATCAGGGTTGTAGCCTTTGCGCCATCTTCTAGAAAAGAAGGTAGTTTTATCTTTTAGACTATGGATAAGGTGAATATTATTTTCTTCAGCCCACTCCAGTAGTTTCTCCCCATTTTCATCATTGTTATCATATCCCCATTTGTTATGGTGACTGTTAAAGTCCCCAATGTAAACTGCAGGTTGGTTGTCAACGGCTTTTATTACATCTACTGGCCATTTTGTTAATGGTAGTTTGTAGATGTTTTTTATGATTACGCCATTCACTTCTGTAGAGACTATGGACACATTATTTTCGCAGCTGCAGTCCGTCATCTTAGCATTTTGTATACTGTTATGCACGTAAGTTGCAGTGCCATAAACATTGCTGTAAGTGGCTCCAATCATGCTCTATCCCGGAATTTTACCCCTCTTAAGAAGCTCGGTTTCCGATGGTGCGTGAGTTTCTTGAATGGTTATGACGTCAACGTTATTTTCGATTAGTAGCTAGAACGATGTTTATAAAAGTTAACAAAGACGAAAATATTTGGTAAATTAAGGCGATATAATATTTTGCGTTTCGTATCGAATATTAGAAAAATGGTGAGAATAAAATATTAGAAAAAGATAACGATGACAAGCTGGGAAAACTCAGAAATACCAGGAATACCAATATCAATTCAGCAATAGAAGGACTTGGAAAGAGCAAAGTAACGAACACTAACATATAAAAAAAAAACTCCATGATATAAAGAGCAAAGGACAAAATGTGAAGAAAAAAGAAACCCTTTTTACAATAGAGAACACAACAAACACAAAGAGAAATAATATGAAGGGTAATCAGAAGACAAAGAAAAGAGATGAACAAAATAATAAAACTGAGACACATTTAAAAGGAAACATGGGTTACTTTTGATTCGTATTTGTTAGAGTTGACTATTTTATTTGCTATGGGACAGAGCTAGAAGTACAAATATACTACGTAGATACAAGGTCAAAACATAGGTAAGAAGACTGGGTAAGGAATAGTAGAGTAGAACGAACTATCATGTAAGCAGAAAAATAACAAAAAAAGTAGTTAGACTACAGAAGACGGTTCTCTAATAGAAAAAAAAAGAGCAGAAAGAATAGAATAGAAGAGAATAGAAAGACATAATAAGTGGGAAGGCTACCAAAAAATGGAATGACAATTGATTGAAGGCACATTAAAAAACAGACAAAACAGAATATAAAAAGAAAAAAAGAAAGACGTTTCCTATTAAAATTTTATTCTTATTCTCTTCTCTAATATTCATATTTATACAATTACAGCAAAAACGTTACCTAGCAGACAACGATTAGAGGTCTTTGCTATAAAAACTTTCAAACTATATCTATTATATTTCTTGGACTTGGAGATCAAGAAGTTTTATTGGAGGCAGTTTTTCTATAGTATTTTTTTGATGTTCGGTAATAACACACCACACAACCATTTCTTGGTCTTAAGTCTCATTCCTCATTCTTAAGTTTGTGGTTTTCTTGAGGTTCTATCTCCTGTGGTGGTGTGGATGAAAGGAATATAGCTTCGCAAAATGTTCTTTGAACTTGGTAATTGACATTTTGGTGTTTGTTACTTCTTTATGTAGAATGTAGGCATTTAAAAATGTGGTTCCTAAAACTAGCTCAAAGACTTTCTGTACCACTTAATCCCTTTACTGAGTGAACGATTGTAAAATTTTATCTGAAATAGTCTATAAACGCTTTTGGGTTATTGTACTCGAATAAAAAAAAGTGGCCTGGGGGTTAATTTTTTTTTCATTTAAGTAGACATTAACGTGTTAAACTAAAATCTTGGCTTATTCCCAGTAAAAATAGTAAAAAGTCTTTAAATTGGCATGCTATGAAAACAATTTTTAATATTCCTTTTATATACAATATTATTTAATTATTTTAAAATAAGGTTTTCTATATACCTCACTGTAAATTTTTAGTGGACTGGCCTAACAGAATTCGATGGTTATCATGGACTAGATTGGCAAATTAACATTTTGAATTTCGAGCCATGGAAAGATGATACGTATCTTTTGAGAGTGGAACACATTTTTTCGTATGATGAAGACACAGAAATGGCTGAGAAAGTATCTATAGACTTAAAGGTAACATAATAATATTACTATGGTTGGTACGTTATCAATTTAAATTAATATTAATTATTCTCCTGGTTATAGATTTATCATTTTCATTTAAGAAATTACGAATTAGGTATTGAATTTTATTAAAAAGATAGTGAATGGTTCGGTCGTTACACTGAAAACATTTGTTTTCAACACTTCCACAAAATATATTTTAAATTATTATTACTACAGCTGTTTCAGCCAGAGTGTTTGTTGATTTCCATAGATTCTAATTAACATATCTTGAGGCCCTTATTATGATTGAAAATAATTTGAAAATCTTCAATAAAAGAATAATTATGGTCTAAAAGGTGATGTGCGTACGTAGAGTCGGTTTTTCTATTATTTAAAACCCTTTTATGTTCTTTTATACGTTTGATAAAAGTTCTACCAGTTTGACCATTTAACTGTCGTCTATATTTAAATCGGTACCACTATCATTGCTATCGTTTAAATCTATCTATAACTACTCTATTTATAATATTTTGGAACTGTAAGTAATTTTCGTGCTGGTCCCGAGACCAGCACGGAAATTAATAAAAAATGTTGGATCAGAAATAATGCCAGAGGTAACTACAGCATTGGAAAACTTAAAGAGAAATAAAGCTGCAGGAGAAGATAGTATTACCACAGATATGATATTAGAAGGAGGTAAGGAACTAATTGCAATTGTAACTAAACTTGTAGACAGTTATTTACATCAGGGCAAAGTACCTAAGAACTGGAACAACTCTAAAGTAATCTTATTACACAAGAAAGGTGATAGTCGAAAATTGGAAAACTACAGACCCATCAGCCTACTGTCACACCTGTTTAAAATACTCACCAAAGTCATAACTACTCAACTAACAAGGAAATTAGACGAATACCAACTATATGAACAGGCAGGTTTTAGAAAAGGCTACTCAACTTCCGATCACATGTTAACCACAAAAATATTAATAGAAAAATGTAACGAATACAAGTTTCCAGTTTTCCTAGCATTTGTAGACTACGAAAAAGCTTTCGATACCATAGAACACACGGCCGTAATAAACGCAATGCAAAATTGTAGAATAGACAGCAGATATATTAACTTAATAAAAGAAACTATGAACCAAGCTACAGCTACATACTCCCTAAATGAAAATGAACACACGAACCCTGTACCATTAAACAGGGGAGTCAAACAGGGAGATACTTTATCACCCAAACTGTTCACCTTAGTTTTGGAAGACGTTTTTAAAAACCTAAATTGGAAATATAAGGGAATAAACATCAATGGCCGCTACCTCAGTAATCTACGATTTGCAGATGACATAATCCTGATAGCTACTGACCTACAAGAAATGCAAACCATGCTTTTAGAACTACATACCGAATCTTCTAAATAGGACTGAAAACGAATCTTCAGAATCTTCTAAAATAGGACTGAAAATGAATTTAAACAAAACAAAAGTCATACACAATATGAATATACTTAGAGTCACTCAACACGCGATGGAAAGAGCAATGCTAGGTATATCACTTAAGGACAAGAAAACAAACACATGGATAAGACAGAAAACCAAAGTCACCGATGTGGTGCAAAAATCATTAAAGTTGAAATGGGAACACGCTGGACATGTAGCTAGAAGCGATCTAAACAAATGGCACAGATCAATTTTAACCTGGAGACCATACCAACACAAAAGACCCAGAGGCAGACCTCCTATGAGATGGACAGATGATCTGAAAAGGACTGCCGGGAAAAATTGGCTACAAGTAGCGTACAATAAAAAACAATGGAAAGGAGGACTTGAAGAGGCTTATGTTCAGATGTGGACGTGAATGGCTAGACGAAGAAGTATTTTTCTTCTAGTTTTTTTGACATGTTCTATATATTTCTTCCAGTCATTTACAGATATATTATAACATTCGGTCTTAATTAAATCTACAACAGTCGAAAATGATTTAGGAGAATTACTATTTTTCCTCACATTACTTTTTAATTGAGACCACAACAATTCTATTGGATTCAGTACACAATAGTAAGAAGGTAATCTTAATACTCTATGGCCATAATTCTTAGCTAGCCTGTCGATAATATAATTTTTTATTATATATATATATATATATATATATATATATATATATATATATATATATAATATATATATATATATATATATATCATATGTATTAATATTATTTATTTTCTTTATACAAAAACAAAGCATTGTAATCAGAGATGAGTCCAAAAGCTCAATCGCCTACTTTTTTGAAAAAATTATAAAAAAATGTTAATATTAAAAAAATCAAAAAAATATGTATTATGTCTAATTCTATGTAAATGATAGTTAATGATAAATATTTTTGTTTCAGTATTTGTTCAAACCATACCTAATTTCATCAATAAAAGAATTGAGTCTTGGCGCCAATCAAGAAATCGAAGCAAATTTTGATAATCCTAATATTTATCAAATCACCTTGGGACCAATGGAGATAAGAACCTTTTTGGTAACATATGAAAAGCAAAATCCCAAACATATGAATACAACATAACAATTTTAAAACTTTAAAACCTAAACATAAATCTACAATGTATATATAATTGTATTTCAGAGTTTCTTAATTTTTACAAGTGTAATAAATAATATATGTTTTATTAAACCAGTATAAGTTAAGTATTAAACATAATTTCTAAAAACGAATTGTTTAGATTGATCCCTTCCATTTATCCTACTGATTAAAACAATTTGACAATTTACACAAAAATAATATAAGCGTTAACTAAAAGATAAATAGATTGTATTACAAAGTTCGACAAAAATTAAGCGACAGTAGTTGTTCAATTTTTCACGTGCGAAAACTATACTAAAACAATTTTTAATTGAAGGTAATTACTTGGCAACATCGCACTTACCGAATCCCTTAACGACAACTTTTCAACTAAATCGTATTTAACTTAGTAATTTTGCAAAGGAATAACAAAAAAAATTTTAATTATTTATTCAAACATAAGTATTCTCTGTTCACAAATTGTTGATAGCACGAAATATGCCTCAAAATCATCAAACGGTCATAAAATTTGTATCATCATAGGCGTTCCTGAGGTGTTTATTCATTAAAATTAATATTGATATATTTAGTAAAAAACAATTAAAACTTTCACGGCTAATGTTGGTTATTATATTATATGAATAAAAATAATAATTTAACCATTAACAATTTTGTAAATAAGAATACCTTATCTCTTTGGATATGTCAATACTAATCTTCGCGTTTAATCACTTTACTAGAAAACCTGGTATTTTTATCCGAAGGTACTATCGGTTGCAAGATAATTAGGATGGAATTCCCCAGATTTTTAATAATATAATGGGTATAGATGCCGGATTTTATGGGTACCTCGTCTGTTTAGTTTATATTCGAAACTTAACTTAAAAGGGTGAAGTTATTACGAACGAAAATAATTTGTTTGTTTAGTACGTTTTGATCGCATGTAATTTACGGCTCGTCGGTGTTTCCGCTTCTACGGCAGTAATTAGCGTCTAGAATATTTCTTTTGCGAATTATATGCAGTGCGTGAGTGATTTTTTATTCCATATACCTACGAACATATACGTACCTTTCGCTCGTGCTCGTTTTGTTGGATTGTTTGTGATGGCTTCATCATAAATATCATCAAGTTTTACACCGGTACTGTTGCGTACAGTCAGTAAGTCGGTCTATTCACCAAGAGAGAAGACTATTGTCCTGAATGTTCACGATGCTCTGGTTTCTCAGAATCCCACAAACACTGTTCGCAACATAGTCGAAAGTTGTGCCAACATGACTGGCGTAGGGGAGTCAACTATATATAGGTTCCTATCAGAAAGAAAAAAACACGGTATAGCTAACCCAAACACAAACGAACACTTAAAGAGAGGGAAAAAGCCTATTGAACTTGATGAATTTACCAAAAATGGTATTCAAAGGAAAAATCATGGATTTTTTTTCAAAAAAGAAATATCAAACCTAAATAAAATTTTACAAGAAGTTAGAGATGATCCGGATTTGCCTCATATCGGACGAACTAAATTGTGGCAAGTTTTAAAAGAATTAAATTATCTAAGATCCATACGAAAATTCCGGGCTGAAGGAAGGCCAATCTTCTACCAGGATGAATCGTGGGTAAACTCAGGTCATACTCTAAAAAAAGTTTGGTCAGATAAAAATATATTAAGCTCCAGGCAAGCCTTTATGGAAGGTTGGTCTACTGGTATCTCCCCACCTTCTGGTAAAGGCAGTAGATTAATAATTTCTCACATTGGCAGTGAAAAAGGATTTGTTAAGCATGGTTTGTTGGAATTTCAGTCCAAAAGCACAAAAGACTATCACGAGGAGATGACAGCTGATGTTTTCGAAGAGTATTTTGTGCAGATGATTGAACACATACCACCAAATTCAATTATAGTATTAGATAATGCACCTTATCGTTCACGACTAGTAGAAAGACTTCCAACGACTGCGTGGAAAAAACAGGATATTCTTGACTGGCTGCGGAATAAGTACCTGCCTTACGAAGATGGAATGGTAAAAGCAGAACTTTTAAAAATTGCCCAGCAAGACAAATCTAAGTTCAAGAAATACGTAGTTGACAAAATGGCGGAAAGGAGAAACATCACAGTCCTTAGACTTAAGTTATGTGGCTAGAAAAAATAGGTCATAAAAAATACAAGCTGTACGTGAATTGTTATACGAGTCTTTACAACACATTACAGAACAAAACTGGAAAGATGCAGTAGGACATGTAATAGAAGAAGAACAAAAAATGTGGGATCTTGATAACATAATTGATGCGACCGTAGAGACACAACCGCTAATTATTAACCCTCAAGACGACTCGGATTCCGAAGTTGATCCTATTTATTTTGAATTTGAATAGTTTTCTAATCGTAATTATATAAGGTAAGTGATAGTAGTTGTAATCGTAAGGTATTAAAGGGGAAAGGCGCAAAACGTCGCATGTCAAAATGTTCAAGGTGTTTTAAATGTATCGATTTTTTTTCAAATCCTGAGAAAACTAAAAAGCCTTTTTGGAAAAATTTAAAGGCAGAATAAAATATTTATTAGAATAAATAAAAAGTTTCTTTTGCTTGCAATATTTTCAATTAAAAATTATACTATATTCTTTTTTTTATTTTCACCCCTGTTACATAACATAATAAAATAAACATTGTAGAAGATTTCAGGGACTTTCTGTAATATACATCAGTATACACATATATAATACCCTCAGGAATAATGTAATCTTTCATTCTGCTTTTAAATTTTTCAAAAATATTTATTAGTTTTCTCCGAATTCGAAAATAATGGATACATTTAAAACACATTTGGTGCCTTTCCCTTAATTAAATAAATGTATCTTTTACAAAGGGCAAAAAACTTTATTTTTGAATAAAATATTTTATTCTATTATAAGTTTAAGTTTACAATTTAAAAAATATATTTATTTGGTTCACATAAATGTTTCAATCATATACTCTACGACACTGGTCGGCCAAAATACGTTCCTAATGGGATTATAAGCTTGACCGCTGTATTGTATTCCGGCAGATACAAGGTGGGTTAGTCGAAAACATCTTAAATCGTCATTTTCAGGTTGGTTTTTACTATTATATCGTATTACCTATCCTCTCTGTATTTCAGTTCTCTAATTAGGATTAAACTTGTAGTGAGCTATCAACAAATTGTGAACCGAGTATAGTTACGTAAAAATTAAATCTAAGACCGAATTAATTATTAAATTATCATGTTTCTTTTAACAGGTATCTTATAGTTGTCTAACAAAATAAAGTAAAATTTTATTCTTATTAGAGAGTATCTAATACAGAACTTTAAAAAACAAAAAACTTTAAAAAATACTTATTTTTTTTATTAGACTAAAAACAATCTGCAATTTTAATTACACATAATTACACATCATTCTCTATTTATAGTATTGCTGTGTGCTGTAAACGTTATATTTGTTTTTTTTTTTTAACTTAATTTGAAAGTTTCCTTGTGTGTTTTTGTTTATATAAATATGAAAATTCACTTGCTTTACTTGCTTTTAAGCTTTGCTGTCGTACTTCTTCTTCAACATCTAGGTATGTAACTAGTTATATCTATTCCAAGATATCTAAATCTTGCTTCCTGGTTTATAATTTTCCCATCAATTTCGATTTTACACCGTAGTGGGTATTTAGATGTTGTCATACATTTGGATTTTTCTGCTGATATTATCATATTGTATTTCTTAGCTGTTGTATTGAAGATATGTGTTAATCATTTGAGCTCGTCTTCTGGCGTCGTCTACATAACATAATATTTGGATTTCTTTGTTCCCCAATCTGTAGCCATGACCTTTACGTACTGCTTGTATTATTTCGCCCATTATTATAATAAAGAGAAGTGGGCTTAACGAGTCACCCTGATTAATTCCGCTTTGTACTGGTTTACGCTGTGTCAGTTTTCCATTTATCTTTGCCTGTATTCGATTATGGAGGTATATGCTTTTGATGGTTTGTATAAAATTGACTGGTATGTTTCTTTTATACAGTAGGTGTATTACGTCTTCGACTTGGATACGATAAAAAGCCTTTGTCAGGTCTATTAAACATAGATATGCCGGTTTATTGTACTCGGTGGCCTTTTCTGTGATTTGTCAGTACAAATACGGCGTCTACGCAAGATCTTCCGGATCTGAATCCTTGTTGTTTATCTGATAAAGTTGTTAGCTTATTGATTTTGTTGGTTAGGACTTTTGTGGTAAGCTTAAGTGCGGTGTTCAGTAGATTTATACCTCTATAATTATTGGGGTGTTCTTTATCTCCTTTCTTGAACATTGGTATCATTATCCTGTTTCTTCATGCATCTAGTATCTTGCAGTGCAATATTAGTGTTTGTATAAGTTTTGTCATCTCTAGGGTTATACTTTCTCCTCCGTATTTTAGAAGCTCGTTGGTTATTCCATCTGGTCTAGGTGACTTTCTATTTTTACGTGAATTTATGACTATTTATACTTCCTGAAAACTAATTTTTATATCGTGTCTTAATTCAGGTACGTTATTGGGTTGATTATTGTCTTCCTTTTCTTTAAACAGTTCTGTCAGGTATCGTTCTCATTCTTTTGCTGGTATGTTTGTAACATTTTTTTTATTATTAATATATCAAATTATTTTTAATTCCTTTTACCCCTGTGCGATACGCCGATGATTAGGAATCCCCATGTTTACGATAGGAAAATAATATTGTAGACACCAAGCTGAAATGGAATTCCCTAATTAAGAAAGGTTTTGAATCTTCCCGTCTTAATACTCTGTATGAAAAGAACAAATGCTTTCCGGTATGCAGTTTCTTTTTCATAAATTGGTAATTTTCGCGAAGGCCCGTATCTTTTGACAATAATATAATCCTAAGGATTTTAATATTCTCAGGTCCAATTGTTAATACCAATTATTTTACCTCAAACTTTCCAATAGTCGTTAAGGCCTTACCTTCTGAGAAATACATACGACTGTCCGATGATTTTAAGTGGGCGATATACCTTCTTCTTCTTTTTTCTTGGATAGTTGGGGAAATTTTTAGGGAACCAACTTACTTCTCGGTGGGCTCTTGTTGAGTGAAGTGATATCTCGTGATGCGCTTTGCTCACGATATTTCTTATCTT